GAAAGAATGTTTCCTTGTTCTGGTTTCGTTCCTGCAGACAAAACTGTCCTCCAGGAACACTTACCAAGCAGGATTTTTGGCCCTACTCTATTTAACATGCCTGTCAGCAACATGGAAGAAGGCACAAAAAATACTTCTCGCCTCTTTTGCAGGTATGAGATGGGGGAATGAGAAATAATACAGAGGGCAGGTCACTGACAGCTTGAAAACCTGGGCCTACACAAATGCATAATCTGCATTTCAGATAGCTCCAGCCTAAAGTCTCATCTGTCTGAATAGTGATGATCACAGGCTACATTGGCAGAAGCAAGGTTCACTCCCTTTGAGCAACAGCTCTCTGCCACTGCATGACTTAGGCCTATTTGCTGTTTTAAAGGATCTTGGGCCAGTGGTCCCAAGTAAAACCAAAAGCCTCCCTGAAAAAGGGAGGCTACTGGGAAAGTGGCAACTGATTTCTGGGGACAAATGATAACAAAACAGGGATGGGAGTGGAGGTCAAAGGTTCAGAACAAGTGAAGGGGGGGGGGGGGGGGGAGGCGGGCAGTGAGCAGAGCACACTGGACAGTGCCCACTGGCCCTGAGACTATTCCAAGGAGCTAGTGGATACTGCCCAGTGAAACTCTGCCCAGGGGCATGAGCAGATGACGGACAGGAAAGCAGCCCCACAGTTCTAGGGAGGCCTCGTGGCCAGAGCCTCCTTCCTGTTGAGAGAGATTGCTAGCTTGGCTAGGGCCAGGAGGAGGTTGACTCTGAGTTCCTGGGACTTGGTGGGGCCATGGATTGGGAGTGCACAAATAAAAAAATATGGGGAGAAGTGCAGCCAGAACATCAGCAAGAGGTTCTGGAGGAGGTGGTGAAGGGGCTGCCTGGTGCACTCCAGAATGGACAGGTGTCACGATGTCTCTGAACTGCATCAGATACACGCCTGCATCGATGGCTCTGTGTAGGAGTCACCAGCTGACATCCTGGTTCATAGGATCAAGGTGGAATATATGCTCATCCACCAGGGACCCTCGTCCACTCTGATTGTGTCCTGCCACTTGGTGACTGGGTGGGTCATGAGGAGAGGATGGTAGATTGTGTGGACCTTGAGCATATAGAGCAGGCGGCGATGGACTGTTAAGAGGCAGACTGGCTCAGTGTCTCCCAAATTGCTGAGATGCTGTTATGGGGAGCCCCACAACAGTCTCTGGGGGGACTGAGGAATACCAGGGGATGGAGATTGCCCTCACACAGGACCTAGTCAATATAGGCGAGGGCAGTGTCTGACAGAGCAGCCTTGACCTCCTGGAGTAGGTAGCAGGGTGCACACAGTGTAGGAAGCTCCATGTGCCAGACCAGCACAGCAGGATCTGTCCACCCCTGCTTGGCATAGTCCAGGAGGTCACAAATATGAGTGATGTTGGCCAGGACCATCCTTTGGTACACCCAGGGTACTACTGTTGCTGGTACCACCAGCTGTGGCTTGTTTAGCAAGGTGGTTGGCAAGGAGGTGAAGACTAGCTTCCAAGCCCTGAGGAGGTCCTATTAGAAATCTGGCAGTTCCTCCAGGCTTTGCTTCTTGCAGGTACAAGAGCTGCTGGTCATACCAGAACCCTTGGAGGCAGTGGAGGAAGGCATATCCTATGTGGCTTCTTGCCACATCACTACTGGCACTGTACAGGAGCCTTTTCACAACCTGCAGACAGAAGCTGTGGACCTGGGTGCAGAGGCAGGCCAGGCCCTGCCCACCCTCCTGCAAGAGAAGGCTCAGGACCACTGCAGAGACCTAGTGCCATCCTGACCAGAAGGACCCCCACATCCATTTTTGGAGCCTGGCCAGGATATGTAGGGGCACAGGCAGGGTGTTGAAATGGTGCCAGAACATGGACAGAGCCAGCTGGTTGATGACCAGCACTCTCCTACAAAGGGAAAGGCACTGCAGTGGGCCTGCCCATGCCTGCAGCTGCTCTTGACAACCTGACCTCTAGCTGATGCTGGTTCTCTGGTGGGGAGGGGTGTCTTGGGGACAGATGGACCCCCAGGTAGAGCAGAGGGAGCGGTGCATCGGGGCAGAGGTGGCTCAGGGGATGACAGGGCAGAACACATGGGGGTGGTGCAAAGTCCCTCTCAGGGTTGTTCTGGGTGTCAGGGGACTCCACACACTCCAAGGGATGGCTCTGGATATGGGGAAATGGAGCTTAGGACCACTTGGGTCCCCAGCTCCTCCAGGGGCTTGAGGCAGACATGCTTGCCCCCCCCACAGCGAGCCCCTTCTCCATCACATCCTGGCCAGAGGCCTCCATAGCAAGGAAGAAAACTCCCTTGCTATTCAACCTGGAGGCCACCATGGTCTTTGGGGCCCCCACTGCCCAAGTCAGGGCCTGCATGTAGGTCTTGAAGTCCAGGCCCTCTTACGCAAGGGGAGGCTCAGGACACCCACAGAGATCCAGTGCCATCCCAGCCAGAAGAACCACAGTGCCCATCTCTGGAGACTGGCCAGGAGCTCCAGGAGCATGGCCAGGGTGTTGAAATGGTGCCAGAGCATGGGTAGGACCAGCTGGCTGATGACCAGTGCCCTCCCACAAAGGGAGAGACACTGCAGCAGGCCTGCCCAAGCCCACAGCTGCCCAGACCTGGTGCCAGTTCTCCATCAGCGAAGAGTGACCGGGAGATAAGTAGACCCCCAGATACAGCAGTGTGCCTGCGCTCCATTGAATGTGCTGGAGCACAGGTGGGAGTGAGCTCACCTGCCACCCATCACCCACCATTGGGCCAGAGCTCTTAACCCAGTTGACAGAGGAAGCTGCTCTTAACCCGGACAGAGGAAGCTGCAGAATATATAGGACTACCCTAATGAAACCCCTCAGGGTAGCAGAGGGGGCTCCATGGGGAGTGGCAGAGCAGGTATCAGATGTTCCTGTGCAGGGTCCCCCTCAGGGTTGGAATGGTGTTTGGTGGGGGACCCTGCTTCTCCCCCCTCAGAACTGGGGCCACAGGAGATTCTGGGGTCTGTGGCAGGGGTGGCTTCTACTGGGACTGGAGAAGACAAATTGGGTGCCTGGGTGGCATCAGTGCCCTCCCCAGAGCCCAGAGGAAGAGAATCCTCCCTATCAGGGCCTAGTGGCATGAGCCCCAGGGCTCCCACCTCCTCCAGGTGGTGGGCACCAAAGCCCCAAAGTCTGCGGTGGTGAGGGAGGGGGGTAGGTCACAGCCAGTGGAGTTGGGGGTCTCTTCCATGGTCTCCTCTACTTCAGGATGCCTGGGCCATCCTAGGTCCTCCTCCATGGTAGTAACAGCTATCTTTTTCATTTTCTCCAGGGGTGGGCTTCCTGGTGAAGCTCAAGAGGTGATGAGAATGATAATAATGTCAACCCTCCTCTTGGGTGGTGGGAGGGGGCCCCCTCCATGTCTGAGGGCTCAAGCTGCTCCTGGGCCTTATGCTTGGCCTGGGTGACTGATCACCTCCCATATGGGACCAGCAGCCACCCAGCCTCGGGGTGGTCTGGGGAGGGGTAATTTGGAGTAATGGTGGTGGTATGGGGCTATGACGGGGTGGTGGCAATGGTAGAATGGTAGGGGCTGGTATGTCCCCTCGCCAGCCTTCCCTGTCTGCTTTGGGACCCCTCTGATGGCTGAGGTGCTGGGTCCCCTGAGCTTGCAGGGAGGGGGAGGGCAGTGGGGAGGCTGGATGCTGAGGCTGGGCCTCTCCTTGGTGGGGGCCCATGGCTGACTAAGGGGGAACTCCTGGCAGAGCCTCCCCCGCTGTGTAGTGGATGTAGTTGGGGGGGCACCTGGAAGGGAACCATGAAGGTCCCCCCCCACCTCTGCCCCCGCTGCCAACTGGATGGTGACTTGGCAGCGGAAGAACTGACTGTGGCGGAGGCTGTGGTCCTGGCATCCTGGAATACTAGGGATAGGACCCA